TCTGAGCTCTTCAGGCGGTTCCTTTGACCTCATGATTCTCATTTTCTCTGACATGCACTGTGAGCTGTAAGGTCTTATATAGACAGGTGTGTGGCTTTCCTAATCAAGTTCAATCAGTATAATCAAACACAGCTGGACTCAACTTAAGGTGTAGAACCATCTCAAGGCTGATCAGAAGAAATGGACAGCCCCTGAGTTAAATATATGAGTGTCACAGCAAAGGGTCTGAATACTTAGGACCATGTGATATTTCAGTTTTTCTTTTTTAATAAATCTGCAAAAATGTCAACAATTCTGTGTTTTTCTGTCAATATGGGGTGCTGTGTGTACATTAATGAGGAAAAAAAATGAACTTAAATGATTTTAGCAAATGGCTGCAATATAACAAAGAGTGAAAAATTTAAGGGGGTCTGAATACTTTCCGTACCCACTGTATACAGCCATATGTGTGTGTTTGTGTGGTGTGAGACAGTGTTGTCATTGCTACACTCTTAAAAATAAAGGTGCTTCACGATGTCATAGAAGAACCTTTTTGTCTAAATGGTTCCATAAAGAACTTTTAACATCTGAAGAACCTTGCTGTTTCACAAAAGGTTCTTTGTGGTGAAAGAAGGTTCTTCAGATTATAAAAAGGTAAGAAAGAGATGGTTCTTTAAAGAACTTTTGACTGAATGGTTCTTTGTGGAACCAAAAATAGTTATTCTATGGCATCACTTGAAGAACCTTTTGAAGCACCTTTATTTTTAAGAGTGTACCATTAAAATAATTTTTATTAATTGAAAAAAGCTAGAAAAAAAAACATTTAAAATGAAAAACTTGAATTTAATCTCAAATGAAGATTAGAAATGTTGCCTTGGCTACCAACTGAAATACGCTATATGGACAAAATTATTGGGACATCCCCTTCTAATGAACCGGTTTGACTACTTTTTAAATCATGGGTTAAAGCCACTTTTAAATAACACTGATTTTAAATCACATGTCTAATGCAGGTGCCAAAGGTGACCAATCACAAACTAAGCAAGACTTACATCATTAAAAATCCATGTGTTGTATTATTGTAGTAAGTTTCAGAAGACACATTTCCACAAATGGACAAGCAGTTGCATGCTGAGCTTGTCCAATTAATGTCATTAACCGCTTAATTATGCACATAAGAATGTTAAATAATAAAAAATTGCCATGGGTTAAGAGTTATTTATATAATATTACAGTGTTTATTAATATTTTAAATCATTTTAAATATATATTTTTTTCATTTCATTTATTTTTCATTTCATTTTCTTTCATTTATTTTTGTTTTAGTTTTTGTAGTTTTAGTACTTATTTTGTTTCGCTTCAGGTCATTTTCAGGTTTTTCATCTAATATGGATTTAATTTTTTAATTTCAGCTTTATTTCAATTAACAAAATAGATTTTTAAAAGTTTGAGTTTGTGTGGCGTATATGAGTGTTTAATCGCAGACGTGTGATTGCGTTTCGACAGAGAGGAGAGTGAGAATGTGTTAACCCTGAAAGGTCTGACCCCCACCGGCATGCTGCCGAGCGGCGTACTGTCTGGAGGAAAACAGACCTTGCAGAGCGGTGAGTTACAAAAGCAAACATCGCTCTTTTCTCTCTCCCATCACAGCCTCTTTTCTCTTTCAAGGTCACTAAGACAATGACTTACAAACTCATGGACATGTATGCTAACCCCTCTCTTTTAGTCAAACACTTTTGTTCATTCTCTTCACTAATTAAACCATCAGAAATGTGCGCACACATACAGGGACACTAACCGGCTAACGCTAACTGCTAACTGTCCGCGGCAGCTAATGCTGGGGGACTGCTGCGTGCATGACTGTCACAATAAACTCCCATCCATCCTCCCTCTCTCCCTCTCTCCGTCTGTCTTTCTGTGCCTCCTCAGCTACCACCGAGGCCATTGAAGCTGTGGAGACGGATGAGGATGGAGAAGGTAAACTGGCCGGCCTCTATCTCTCTGTGCTGCTCAGAGGTTTCATAGCGACCGCTGTAACACGCTAGCAAGCTAGCTAGACAGCGAGCCTAGCTAACTGAGCGTGTGGGGTGCTATGACTGGTCAGGGATTGTGTATTTCTCACAGACACACACATACACACACATTTATCTAGATGTCTAAATGGGAACATACACTATTTAAAACTTTGGTGTCAGTAAAATATTTCTTTAACGAAATGAATACATTTATTCAGCAAGGATACATTAAACTGATCAAAAATGACAATAAAAACATTTATAATGTTACTGAAGATTTCTATTTCAAATAAATACTGTTCATTTGAACTTTATATTCATCAAAGAATCCTGAAAAATAAATATATCATGGTTTCCACAAAAATATGACGCTGCACAACTGTTTTCAACATTGATAATAATCAGAAATGTTTTTTGAGCATCAGATCAGCATATTAGAATGATTTCTGAAGGGTCGTGTGACACTGAAGACTGGAGTAATGATGCTGAAAATTCAGCTTTGATCACAGAAATAAACTACATTTTTAAACTAATTCAAATAGAAAACACTTATTTTAAATTGTAATAATATTTTACAATTTGACTGTTTTTACTGTATTTTTAACCAAATAAATGTAACCTTGGGGAGCACAGGAGACTTCTTTCAAAAACATTAACCATACGCTTGTATTGTCTTTAAGCTACATTAATGTTAATTACAAAGACTACAGACTAGAAATGACTAATTTAATTTCTAGATTTAAAAAAATATTATTTATTTTTTACCTTTGAGGGCATTCCTAATGGAGGTTTTGTTAATATCTTAGAACAATTTTCAGGCACAATTAGTTTTCTCTGAGGTAAATTTGTTTCAAAGACTTACGTTTTCTCCATTTTTCAACTAATAAGTCCAGCTAGGAATATGTAGCATCAGGTTTGATTATCATTTTAATGAATTTCTTCCCATAATAATATACATAATGTCATAATCATATCCCCGCTAAAAGAAACCATTTAATCCAGCCTAAATAGTTTTTCATGTCTCCCGTGCCAGCCCAAGCTGATCTGTTTTGCTAGTTTTAGAGGGGTTTGGGGCACTTGAGAGGCTGGGAGAACAACTAGACCTGCATAAACCAGCCAAAACCAGCACAGTTTAAGCTGTTTTTGCAGCATGGATATAATTGGTATACATTGTAACGACATCCAGCCAACAAACAATCTCATTTCAGTAAAAACTAGATCCCTTTCCTGTTTAAATCAGTATAATAAAATATGTCCTCTGTTGATAATTGTAACTCAGCGGTTGTTTAAAAAGCTAGTCTGAATAGTGTTTAGACATACATAGACATGTGCACACACATAACCACACAAACACACACACACACACACACACACACCTGTGTCTTCCTGCTTATGCAAATGCTGGATTCTGCTCTGCTGTTTTGCTCCACCCGTTTTTCCAACGGCACACATTTTTATGTACCTAATCAGCAAGGTTTCAGAATGACTCAGCAGACGGCAAGAATCTGGGCCATGGGCGGGTGAGGGCACGCACCCCTGCCTCTCACTAATGACCCAGTATTCTTACAGCACCCTGCCCCAAACGCTGATCACCCCAGCGCCGCTCCTCGCACACTCACACTGGGTTTGGTCTATCATGACCATGTGATCTGCAGGGAACATGTAACCTCTCTATTACAGGGTTTGTTTTTTAGACTCATTCTAAATGGCCTTTGCTTAAATCTGGTAAACAATCACTTAAAGGTCAATGAGGGTTCTGGATATTAAATGCCATTTAAAATCTCCATATAGAAAAATTGGCTTTAAATCAATAACATATTAGCCTTGTGAGATTGGCCTAGAGTTCCAAGGTTGTGAAACAATGAGATACACTTCTGTAGAAGTGACTCTTACTTGAAACCAAAACATGTTTCACATCTGAAATCCTTCATTATGTTGCATTCATGACGACAATATAATACAAAACAAATTGAAAGAATTTCTGTGTAGAGCTTTCATTTTTTTAAAAATCATGAAATGAGAACATTTATTTAGGAATTGTTTTAGAAAAAGTTTGCACAGAACTTTTCATGAGGCCCAGTAAATATTCAAATTACAAAGATAAAAGTAAAAGAAATATATACAAAATGTTTTGTTCTTCAGCAATACTTGGAATAAATACTTAATTTCTTAGTGGAAGATATTAAGTACACAGCAGTTTTCTTTTAAGATTATTTCTATTGTATTATAGCATTTATTCATATTTTGAATAAGCTTTTTTATATTTTTTATTTTCATTTTAGTTTTTGGTAATTTGGTTATGTGCTTTTGTCTTTTTTGTTATTTTTTTAGTTTAGAATTTTAGTACTTCAAATTCAACTTATTTCAGTTAGTTTCCAAGGAAACATTTCTTATTTTCATAATGTGTTTTAATGTTTCCTGATTTATTTCAGCTTTATTTGAATGAATTAAAATTATTTTTATAAGTAGTAGAGTTTCTAGTTAATAACACTGGTGCACTGTCTGTTTTTTTATATAACAGTCAAATAGTTATTAATGTTTTAGCATCATTATTCATATCAGAGCAAGTTGGTTAACTTCAAGGTTTATAGCTACTTATCAAAGAATACCTATGGAGACAATCAGTGGCAAAAATACTTCCAAAACTCTTTTTCCAGCACACAGGGTGAGACAGGAAGAGCTTCAATGTATTTGAAAGCCAAAAAGCATCTCTGTTGTCTGAGAGCAAACCCAAGAGAGAGTCTCACATTATCTCTGACTGTGGGATAAGGCACTATGTTTCCATCAGAATGGATCAAAGTACATTAAAAATGAACTTTACAAAAAAACTATTTTGATGCTGGTGAAATGGGTTTGTTTTCTAATGGAAACATTGACTGTGCTATTGGTCCTTGTGAGGTTTTCCAGTTGAAGTGGGAGTGAAAGTGATAAGATGTAACATCCATTATCATCGCCACAGCTGTTCCCTTGTCCACCACATACAGTGTTGGGGAGTAACTACATGTAACGGCATTACATAATTGAATTACAAAATACAAAATCCCGTTACAGTTACTGAGAAAAAATGTGTAATTAAATTACAGTTACTTATGAAAATGTTAATGATTACAAAGGGGTTACATCAAAATTTTCTGTAAAAAGCTAGGATATGTTGAATAATTTTAATTTGCTGTTTTTGATTGATTGTTCTGAATTATGAGACACCAGTGTTTCAGGAGATTCGGACACAGAATAGGACAAATGCTTATTTGATAGCTGTTTTATTTCCTATTTGGCTTTATGTATATGCTTTTTAAATTTTATTTAAGTTCAACTTTTTTTCCCAAGGCATCGTTAGATGCCAGTCTTTCCTGTCATTGCTATGCAATGATTTAATTTCAAAAACAGTATCTATTAAACTAATTATTTTTATTATTTCACATCTGTTTTTAACCTCAAACAATCTCAAATTAAAAATCAGTACTAAAGTCTGATTTTGTGATGGCTGGGCTTTAAATATAAATTATTATTATTATCTTAATCTAAGTGATGAGGGATTTTGAAAGTCTGACAGTAATCAGTGTTGAGTTCTACTGTAAGGTTAACCTGCCTGGTTTAAATGTCTGAAAATGATTTTAAAATGTAGAAATTTAGAAAAGCAATCAAATGTAATCACCTACATTACTTTGAATAAAGTAATTGAAATAGTTACACAACTTATTGCATTTTAACTTGTAATCTGTAACCTATTACATTTCCAAAGTAACCTTCCCAACACTGGCCGTATATTGTGTGTGTGACTGCTTGTGAAATATGTGCAGTTGTGAATTTGTGTTTATAATGTGACTATTACATAACAGAGTGAAACAGTCGAGTGTTTGAAGAGATATGTGTATGAGTGACATTTTGAATCATACCAGATCACATTTCACTCCAGTAATCAAAAGGAAAAAAAAGTTTGCATAAAGAAAATAAGTAAAGAAATTAATATTTTTGAAGTATTAATAATATTATTTATATTGCAATATAATGCCCCTGAAATATTCATTACTATAATTTGTCCAATATTGTAAAATAATGAATTTTACCATTTAGAAATTCGAAAAATAAATTAAAATGTTGTACAACAAATACCACCCTGGTAAAAAATAGTTTTGTTTTTTTTACATTACAGTAATCATTTTGTGAGGAAAATGTAAAAGTATATTTTTATGTATACATAATTGCATTTATTTATTTAAAATAAATATTATATTTTTAAATACTGCAGGCTATATATTGTATTTTTGAACTTTTTTCACATTACAGTAATAATATTTTGAGGGGGG